CTGACCCAGGGTCACCCCAGCAGCAGTGGAGGAGTGGGGAATCAAACCTGGTTCTCTCAGACTAGAGTTCACACTCCTAACCACTACACCAAACTGGCTCCATGTTCTGGCTCCATGACATTGGTGTCGAGGGGGTAATTTTCTCAACAGTCAGCTTCCCAGTCTACAGAAAGGAGAAAGTTAGAGCGAGGAAGGCTTACTTTTGCTGCTGCAGGCATTGAGAAGAAATCAGCAGAATGCAATGGATGATTATATTCACTTTAATTGGGACCCATCTTTCTAGAGTGCTCATTAGGCCAGAGAGCTCTTCTTGCAAGAAAAGGGTTCCCCCCCCCCAATCCTTTTAATGTGTTTTACCCATAGCATAAATAGCAGGAAAAGGCCATTAAACTCCATTTTCCTTGGCTTTCAGTTCAAACTGTAACATTGGCTGCTGTCAGTACCTGTTCTCTCCCTCTGCCCGTGTTTTCCCAAGATCCTTTGTGCGTGACTGTTTCACTTCAGTCACCCAAAGGCCTCCTGCTTTCTGAAAATTCTCCACCTGTTTTGGTCCATCCCTCCTGCTTTAACCAGGGCCAGTTGACCAAGTTCTGTGGAAGATGATCAGCTGATATAGGGTTAAAAAGGTAAACGTAAAGGTTCCCTTGCTCGAAAGCCAGTCGAGTCCGACTCTAGGGTTGCGGTGCTCATCTCCGTTTCCAAGCCAAAGAGCCAGCGCTGTCCGAAGACGTTTCCGTGGTCATGTGGCCGGCATGACTAGACGCCGAGGAGCACGGAACGCTGTTACCTTCCCACCGAAGTGGTACCTATTTATCTACTTGCAATTTCTTGCTTTCGAACTGCTAGGTTGGCAGGAGCTGGGGCCAGAGACGGGAGCTCACTCCGTCATGCGGCAACTCGGGTCTCGAACTGCTGAACTACTGACCTTCCACAGCCGGCAGTTCAGCGTCTTAACCACTTGAGCCACCGCAGCTCCATTTGATATAGGGTTGCTGGCCTCCAATTCACTGTGAAGACCCTGGGTTCTGTTATTAGAGAGTCAACATGGAATGTTTCCTTCAAGAGCTGATAAATAGTAATGTAAGTGACAGTTTTGTGTGTAATGGTTTATTATGATTCTTTAAGCCACATTTATAATTGAACGTGTATTTTCTTCCTTTTAGTGATAAGAACTGGGATTGCTACGCACTCCGATAAAGCAAACATTGTGAAACTAATTGTTTTCATTGCACAGTATTCGTAGCGTGTGAGCGATAATAGAAGAAAAGTTTCTACAGAATTACTCCAGTAAACGTTTTTGCAACTTATCTTTATTGACTCTTCGTCAATGTTCCCTCTAAGCTGTGGAGTCTTGTGAGCAGATATTCTACTTTGGGAGCTACTGGCATTAAAGTTGTGAGCGAGAGATTTGGCTCCTGCATAAATTAGTTTGCTCTGGAGCCATCCTTCCTGAGCTGAGACAAAAATGCGTGAGCCGGAGGCTAAAAAACTGTGAGAAGGCTCACTCTAACTCAGCTTAGAGGGAATACTGCTCTTCGTTATTTTTGTCACGGATGATATGCAAGATGAGTTTCCCCTCCAAGAGATACCATAAAAGGGGGAATATTTTACACTTTCTGGGGGAACGGGCCTCCTCTGGCCTGCAGGCCCTATTCTGCCCTGCCTTCCAAGGCTTTTCCACCACCTGGTCAAGACTCCCAGCCTCCCTTCCAAATTCTGAGGCCTTGCCTCTCTGCCTCCTGACGCTGAGCGTCTGGGTCACAGTTCACTGCCTCACGTGCTCTTGGAGGAAAAGCCACTTGCCACTGCCTGCCTTCCCCCGGCGTTCCTTTTAAAATAGTGTGTCTAAGATGGTGGAGATCTATGTGGTACAGAGAACCACTGCCAGCCTCTTAAAGAGTCCTTTTCCCCTCACAAATGTCCAGCTTGTCCGGCATCATGTGTGTGGGAGTATGAAGGCATTGTATCTGCAAGAGAGACCTCCAGAGACATGTGTCTCCATGGAAGGCCATGTGAAGGAAGTGAGAGGACAAAAAGAGAGAAGGGATCAGAGGGCAGCTCCCAAGAGAGGCATCTCATTCAAGGAGATAGCACCTATACACACTTAGAGTGATGTAGCACCCCCCAGTGGCCAGGCATGATGAGTCGCTCACGCCATCACATTCCCTCTCCCAACGAAGCGAACGAAATAAATCCTTGTGAGCACAGAAGATCTCTGAACCAGGGCTTTGGGATCTTGGGAATATGGGCACAGACTCCCTCCATCTTGAAAGCCTTTGTACAAAGCCAACACAATGTCCTATTATCAAACCCAGTCTTAAATGCTAAAAACAGCACAGTTGCTCTCTGCCACCATAATCCCATCTGAATCCCATCTCCCCACAGGTATATCAGAGAGGCCCTAATCATGCAGGTGTGAAACAGAAATGGACACGGAGCAGTGTCTTTTTGGTGGTGGCTCCTGTGTGCTAGAACTCACTCTCTAGAGATATATGCCAGGCAGGTTCCATTATAAAAGTGATAGGCATTGTCTTGGGAGCAGCATGTCGTTCTTTGACTTGCCACCTGTACTCTTCTGAGTGCGATCCCCCAGTATGGCATCTGCCCCATGTTTCAGGAAGTCATGAAACAGCCACCACCAGAGGAACAAATAAGTTGCAAGCCTCCCAGAGGAGCAGACCTCACACCAAAGATGAAAGTACATTTGGTTCTTTTGGGCTGATGATAACCGCAACTATAACTATCTGCAAACTGCGGACTGAGAACCATTGCAGTATTATATTCAGAAGGCTGGCAAGGGCCTGCCATTTTTTTGAACTTCTTAGGGGTATAATCCTGGCTTGCAGGTGTGTTAGCACTGCCAGGTAGGATTACCAGCTTCCAGGTGGGGGCTGAAGATCAGGAGTTACAGCTCTATGGTATTATACCCTGCTGAGGTCCCGAAGATCAGGAGTTACAGCTCTATGGCATTATACCCTGCTGAGGTCCCTGAGGCAACCATCAGGGGGACTAACTGGTGGAGGAGGCCCTCCCTGGTGATGTAATGGCATCTCTGGCAAAGGTGTGATACCACTTCCTGTGCACCTGGAAGTGACATCGCCGAGTTATTGGAGATGCTCTAGCATTTGAGCAAAATTCAATGGTTAAACCGTAGAGTTTCGGCCAAATGCTGGAGCATCCCTGGAGTTTCCTGTCAATACACTGATGTCACTTCTGGGCACGTGGTGAGTGATGTCAGTGCATTGGGACTCTGCAGATGTTCCCCCCTGCTACCCACCATTTCTCCCCCATGCTGGCCAGCTAAATGGTAGTAGGGAAGTGCCCTCTGTGGTTTGGGGTATTCCTGTCCCCAGCAGGGGAATGCCAGCCCTAGAATGCGCTTTTAATAGGTCTTTTATATGTAATATATTGTATGAGTATCAGTACTTGGTCCACTGCTTTTTAACTTGTTCATTAATGATTTGGAGTTGGGAGTAAGCAGTGAAGTGGCTAAATTTGCGAATGATACGAAGTTGTTCAGGGTGGTGAAAACCAGTGAGGACTGTGAGGCACTCCAAAGGAATCTGTCAAGGATGGGCGAGTGGGCGTCAACATGGCAAATGGGGTTCAATGTGGCCAAGTGCAAGGTGATGCACATTGGAGCCAAAAATCCTAACTATAAATACACGTTGATGGGGTCTGAACTGGCAGAGACTGATCAAAAGAGAGATCTTGGAGTCATAGTAGATAACTCACTGAAAATGTCGAGACAGTGTGTGACTGCAATAAAGAAGGCCAATGCTATGCTGGGGATTATTAGGAAGGATATTGAAAACAGATCAGCCAATATCATAATCCCCCTATATAAATCAATGGTGCGACCTCATTTGGAATACTGTCTGCAGTTCTGGTCACCACTCCTTAAAAAGGATATTATAGCTTTGGGAAAAGTGCAGAAAAGGGCAACTCGAATGATAAAAGGGTTGGAACACTTTCCCTATGAGGAAAGGTTAAGGCGCTTAGGGCTCTTTAGCTTGGAGAAAAGACGACTGAGGGGTGACATGATTGAGGTTTACAAGATTATGCATGGGAAAGAGCAGGTAGAGAAAGAGGTATTTTTCTCCTTTTCTCACAATACAAGAACTCGTGGGCGCTCCATGAAATTGCTGAGTGGTCGGGTTAGAACGGATAAAAGGAAGTACTTCTTCACCCAAAGGGTGATTAACACTTGGAATTCACTGCCACAGGAGGTGGTGGCGGCTACAAGCATGGACGGCTTCAAAAGGGAATTAGATAGGCATATGGAGCAGAGGTCCATCAGTGGCTCTTAGCCACAAGGTATAGATAGGGGCTCTGGGGCAAGTGATGCTCTGTCATCTTGGTGCTTGGGGGGGGGGGGGTCAACAGTGGGATGGCTTCTAATGTCCTGGCCCCACTGGTGGACCTCCTGATGGCACCTGGTATTTCTGGCCACTGTGTGACAGAGTGTTGTACTAGATGGGCCTTTGGCCTGATCCAACATTGGCGTCTCTTATGTTCTTATGTTTATGTTCTTATGAGTTGGGGGTATTGTCATAAGCTATGCTGGACATTTTTAATTGTTGTCATCTTACGTAGTAATTAGGAGGATCCATGGTGCATCTCAGGTGGGAAGGAGTTAAGCATGGCACGAACCCCGGGCAGCTGTAGAGACAGTTGAAAACCACACCACTTGGTGTTCAAGGGCTTGATCCAGCATCCCTCGGAGCCAATTAAATAAAACTCCCTTTAACTTCAGTGAGGGTTGATTCAGGTCCGTAGCAGGGGAAGTCATTGGGTTTTAATTGGTTTACAGGGGTCCCAGGAGGCGAAGAAAGGAAGGGGAGGCCCGGGGGAAACCGCGACCGATTTCAGCAGCCTCATCTGTCCACAGCTGCAGGCAGGCAAAGAAGAATGGACGCATAATCAGATGAGCAAGCCGAAAATGTCACATGATTATTTATGAAGCGGTTAATAACCACACTGCGATCTGCCGGACACACCAGGGCAGAAAGTGAAAAAGCCGTTTGGGGGACGATGTAACTCCCCGAAGTAAGGGATGGGAGATGTTTAGGGACGGCGTGGGTGACCTGTGCTTTGACGATCTCGAGGGCTTCATCATTCATGCTGAGGACACCATTGCAGGCCGAAGCTCAGGACACCGCTAGCTGCCATGGCAACCAAGTGCATTAGAGGCCTAGCACAGAGATTGGACCTATGCTGATTTCTTGGTCTGCAGTGACTTAGGAACGTGGATTTTGGGGTGCTGTTCAAATGCTTTCAATACTGCCTGGGAGCTACGTATTCTGTTATTTCAAGAAAAGATGAGTAGGACTTCCAACGTTCCAGAAAGATAGGGTTGCCAGCCTCCAGGTGGGGCCTGGGGATCTCCTGCTTTTACCACTGATCTCCAGCTGACAGAGATCAGCTCCCCTGGAGAAAATGGCTGCTTTGAAGGGGAGACTCTATGGCACTGTACCAGGCTGAGGCCCCTCCCCTCCCCAAACCCCACCCTCTCCTGGCTCCACCCCCAAAGTCTCCAGGTATTTTCCAAACCAGATTTGGCAACCCTACAGAAAGACGATGGAGGCTTCTAAGGAAAAGGAAGCTAGCAGAGGATGCAATTCCCCCCTAACCCCCCGGAGACTCAAGTTTTGATCTCTCTGGTTTTAATGTTATTCATTTAAAACATATATAAGCCTGCCTCGCTTTCCACAGAGTGGTCTTTGTTCTCTCCCTTATGTTGTGTGTGGATTGTTTTGGTGCCCGGGTTTTCTATTTTTAATTGTCATAAAATAAATTAAACATGCCGAGGGTTGATGGCTACCCTGAAGGTTAATTTATAACGTAAATTAAACATGTCATGGCCTTGGAAAGGTTCAGCTGCACCCCAATTAAGGTGGTCCATTCCTAGAGAGTTGTGAGTCCAGCTGGCACCCAGAACTTTCTTTAATTGCCTGTGTCAGTGGTCACTCTGTAGATGACCCATAGTTTCTGCGGGAATCCCACGGAAAACATCTTCCCTGTTCCCCATAGCAAGTGATGCAACTTCAGGTATAATCTTTACCAGCATTTATTACATGACAGGCCTATGTTAGAGTTTTACTCACTTCCTACTTTAAAAAGGTAAAGGTTCCCTTGCTCGAAAGCCAGTCGAGTCCGACTCTAGGGTTGCGGTGCTCATCTCCGTTTCCAAGCCGAAGAGCCAGCGCTGTCCGAAGACGTTTCCGTGGTCATGTGGCTGGCATGACTAAACACCAAGGCACACGGAACGCTGTTACCTCCCCACCGAAGTGGTACCTATTTATCTACTTGCAATTTCTTGCTTTCGAACTGCTAGGTTGGCAGGAGCTGGGGCCAGAGACGGGAGCTCACTCCGTCATGCGGCACCCTGGGTCTTGAACTGCTGAACTACTGACCTTCCACAGCCTGCAGTTCAGCGTCTTAACCACTTGAGCCACCAC